TTGGGTGCCCCTGAAAGTTTAATAAGCGCACAAGTTTGTTCACTCTGATGCGTTATAACGGCAATATGGTTCTTTGACTGACGACAAAGATAAAGCTGGTTCTGCAAAGGTAATAAATCTGGGCGTGTAAAAAAGTAACCGTAACTACTAATAACAGAATACAAGCGGGTTTTAATTCAGCCCGGCGAAATCAACTCATAAATTAATCGGATGCACAATCAGAAAAAATACTCGCCTCCTTAAAAATGTTCACAACCTTTTATTCCACCTCAGACTGACAGAATGATCCATTTTTCCTTTAACATTGGTTTTTCTGAATCCAAAGTAATTTTCAAGCGACGAAAAAAAGCAAACATGTCAAATAAAAATGCTTTACAAGGAGCAAACTTTGGCACCTAGTGCATTTCACTCAGAACTCCAGCAACAAACAAACAAACACATTAAACACACAGAAAAGCCCGCCTTGAGCCTGCGATAAGGGATGCGCAGAAGCTTGCGCAGAACGTTTTTCCGCCCTGAAGGTCTGAAACTATTCATTCGGCCTTGATAATCCACGCGCCCTTTCACGAATCTACGGGAAAAGGAGGAGTAGAATATAGGAAGAGATATCAATCATCGTGGTTTTGTATTATAGCCTTACTTGTTGTTTTTAGTACGATAGTCACTTTGTTATTGATCGCGTCGCGACGTTCTATTCGCTTACTGCTGGTCTTTATCACTAAGGTAGACGGCTCACAATTCCCTATATTTCACTAGGATCGTCGGAATCGAGGGCGTTTGATAAATGTGGTTTTTAAAATAGAGGCTAGGAGAAAATTTGATGCACTGATACAATCCCTTTTGCAGTGCATGGTTAATCACGCAAGCCTTCAGAGGCTTAAGTTGGTTACGTTTTAAGTTAACGTTAATAATCCAATGTTATACTTGCAAATTGCCGTTAAAACTGCCTGTTTACTGCCAATTTTTTATGTGTGCATCTCAATAGCCCATGCTAATATCCGCTTTAGTTTACCCGCATATCCATCCCCAATGATTCTAAGTTCCAATAAAAGCCATTTTCCTGGTTTAAGATAACTGCTACAACCCTTTCCTAGTCCCTAGGCCTCCTTGATCCGCGCGATCTGTGCGTTTCGAGTCACGTGGTACGAGCCAGCTTTGCACCGTTCGTCTCCGATACGTTCCCGAAGTGCGTTGAGAAGGCCTGGAAAGACGCCGTACCCGGACTAGGCCGAACTACTCCCCTATAATTGGCGGGCGTGCTCAGCGTACCTTTGAAGGATTTGTGGATTTGTACCTTTACTTTCACGGGCCTTTAAGGGTGACGCGCCGAAAAATGACGTGAACTACAATTGAACCTCGTCCCCAGGGTGTTCTGTGTCGCCGCCATGTTGAAAAGACGAGAAGACCCTGGGGACGAGGTTGACTGGAGTCAACTCTCACCTTAAGGTGACTCGACCCAGTTTTCTTGGGGGGGTACCATCCTACTTTGAAGCTCTCTGGTATCCCCACCTTTACTTTTATCGTAAGTCTATCACATAGAATGGATAACATATAGATCAATCTACAATATAACATAAAATTTTTGGCGATCGGAATAAATGTCACGTGGTTATAATGCCACGCCCCTTTGAGGTCTGAGTCGAAAATCGGCTGTTGCCGGCATTTTTTTTTGTGAAAATCTCTCGGCTACACGTAGTGCGCATTAGTGCCTTGCGCTGAACAGAGTTTCACCAAAATTGCAAAGATCCAATGAGAGAAATTCAGTGGTTTCCAAATTTAGGTCATAATTTATGGGAAAATGATAAGCAAACTTTACACGCCAAGCGCGGTCATTGCACGAGTGCTGAACAAGAATGCTGTATCATGACAGACTAGAAACAATAGACAGCTCCCAAAGCACAAAATCAGCCAAAACGTTAAAAATCTTCAATGTTTACTCAATTTTGGGCTTAAAGAAGATAATGTCACAGTTTTTCAATGACCATGAAATTCAGAGTCCGGGTAGTAAGTTAATCAATTGTGGCCTGAAAAAATTTGAAGGAAAAAAAACTACGAATTTTTAAGAAAATGCTTTTTTCGTGAGAAGGACTCTCAAACGCTGACAAACGTCAAGAAATAGCGAAAACTATAATTTCTATATGTTTGCTTTGCTCGAAATCGCGCGCATTTACAAGGCCCTAAAGCGTTTTGCTGACTTGCAAGGACCCATCTGTTATAACGATGCCCAAAATAAAGGGATGAATCTCATAGTTTATTATATATAATCCGTGTAAAGTTTGCTTATCATTTTCCCATAAATTATGACCTAAATTTGGAAACCACTGAATTTCTCGAATTGGGTCTTTGCAATTTTGGTGAAACTCTGTTCAGCGCAAGGCACTAATGCGCACTACGTGTAGCCGAGAGATTTTCACAAAAAAAATGCCGGCAACAGCCGATTTTCGACTCAGACCTCAAAGGGGCGTGGCATTATAACCACGTGACATTTACTCCGATCGCCAAAAATTTTATGTTATATTGTAGATTGATCTATATGTTATCCATTCTATGTGTTAGACTTACGATAAAAGTAAAGGTGGGGGTACCAGAGAGCTTCAAAGTAGGATGGTACCCTCCCAAAAAACTGGGTCGAGTCATCTTAAGGAACCCTGCGAACACCTCGCGATAACAACCCGATTATACGGACAGCATCTAAATCCTTGGCATAACTTACAGACAAAAAAAGTTTCTGGTAAGTTTAAAGGGTGTTTTTGGAATTACTCGACAAGAACCCTCGGGCGTCTACGTAGCCGTCAGTTGGGTGCGGTCACGGAGCTCTCGATTGTCAGGCAACGCTTCTCTATGCGCATTGCGCGACGACCTAAATAACAGCTAAAGAAAATTCGTTTCATTTATTCATATCGGAGGAAAAACCGTTGCGGTCAAGGCTCCCGTTTAAGAGTCAAGGATTAAATGGCAGACAGGCGTTATTGGGGGCCCTCAAGCAGGTTTTGTTACGCGAGCGTAAAGCGCAAGAGAAAGGAAAAGAGAAAAGTCCTTCCCCTCGCGTGTCTCGAACGTCACGCACGCCCCTTAGTGCCCCCAAAACGCGGCTTATGCAGGCCATAGAGGGAGAATAATAGTTATCTTAATTCACCATCTATCGTCGCGTATTAGTTCCTCCTTATCACAACACCCTGGACCTAACAATCACTTAACGATCATGTAGGGGTGTCTCAATGAGGTGGTAGCTTTGATGGTTGACGGTAGTTTTTTTCCAATTTTTACGATTGACGGTTTTAAATATTAACTGTTGTATGCGTTATTGATCAAGTGTGAGGTCAAGATGGCTGGATATTAGCCATATTATATGGCCAAAAAGAGTTTTTTTCACTCGCGTTATGGTAAGAGCCCACAATCCGGAGCGAGCAACATCAATGCGCTCGACGCTCGTGTCCTGGCGTTTTCACGGACCATTCTTTTTTTAGAACGGTTTTGGCGCGAATTTTGAATATCTTTTAAATTCCACAAACCTGTCAGCAAAACCGTGACCTATACACCTAAAAATGATATTTTTTGCCTTTTAATAAGTTTAGTTTTTGTTTTTGATATCTTGTATCGACTTGTACTTACATAGACATGGTAGAGATTCTATTTTCGCGGGAAAAAGTGCACTAAAATGAGTCTAAAAATAAACTGGTCCGTAAAAACGCCGTGACATAGGCCTTGTATGGGAGTTGCTCGCTCCGGGTTTTGGCCTCCTGTTGGGTAAGCACTTGTTTCCATATCTCAAACCGCCCTGTCCCTTTTCACTTACACTAACATGAAATTTCTAAGTTTCTTGACTCAGAGACTTAGTTTCTGCTCAACAAATGTCGTCAAAGTGCAAGTCTCTACAATTTTAAAGGAAAAAAAAAATTCGAGTCTAGAGCAGGAAACGATCCCGGAATGCCGAATCAGTAGCACGTGTCCTAACCACTAGACCACCAATGATTCACTGCAGGGAATGGGAGTAATTTAACTACTGTAGCGTGGTTCTTTTAAATGGTTAGCCTTTAAAAATGAAGCACTGACCATACTGATTAGGGTTAAGCACTGAAAATACTGATAAGGGTTTACAGCTCCTGGAGTGTCGTCGGAGGGAGAAATAGACGAACTAGTGCCTAAAAACAAAGCAAGAACAGCAAAAGTACTTCTCGACAGATGACAATTGCTATTTGAAGAATATCTGCTAAACTAAATATCCCTTTTTAGTAAAAACTGAATCATTGCTCTCTCCTATGCAGAGGCCTCTGCACAGGGACACCCATCGGGAGCTTCTGCGGAGGAGAGAGGAATCATTGGATAATGCAATTCTAGAACTCTGATTGGCTTAGCCCTCACGGTATATGAACTATTATACCATGCTCTCCAAATCTGGTAACTGTACGTGTCTGCTCCAAATTAAAAACAAGCTGAAAATCTTTTGTTTTTACAAATATAATGTCTGGAAGAATTCTCGATATTTTGTGGGCGTTTTAAATAAAACAATTATTCCACTCGCGCTTGTTGGATATGAGATGATTGTAGCTAACGAGGCGCGTAAAAGCCAACTCGGCGCTACGCGCACTCGTGGAAAACAGTGAACTTCCTTCATAGCGGACATTGTATGGACCTTGTGTTAGTGTCCTCATTAGCGAGAGTCCGTAATAGTATAATATTCATCCCTGGGTATTGTTATTCATGACATTATAATAAGGTATGGAGAGTCGATCTGACCTGGGACAAGCCCAAGACAAACTGAATTGAATACATAAATAGGTAATCTGGAACCCGGCTAACTCGCTGGGGAGGGTGAGTGGGTCGCCAATCGCCTTCGTCAGCCTCATTCATTAATTGTTAAATATAGTTCTGCTTTCTTCAGTTACCACGAGATCAACTAAGCGCATGCAAGTCCATCCGTTTAGATCCTTTGAAATAAAACGAGCAACTTGAAGAAATTCTTGCTCAGTGCAAATAACAAAAGAATGAAATAACTTACTGTAAACAATTTCTCGCTCATCAATTTTCTGCAGCTGATACAGCGCCTCACAAAAAGACTTGTGGTCTTCCACGTTTATACAAACGTCCTGAGTGACCGGGTGAAGAAAACCAGATTTCTACCTTCTAGGGAACTCTTCAAACAGATCGCCTTGGGGTATACTCGGTAACATCCCCGTACCATTGCCAAGGATCTAAGTACTTATAAGCTCGTGCAACATGCCTGTTAATTCTTCGTCGTCATCATCATTAAAGTCAAAATTATGGTCGACGTAGTTTCTAATGTCAAATTTTAATGTAGTCTGCATCTTATGGATAGTAAACCTTCTCAAACAGAAATGTTGCTGAAGTTTTAGCAAAGTATTTTCTGCTCCTTAACATGCTTGTTACGGATGCAACATTGGTGACAATTCTTGGGATGTCTGTACTAAACATATGCTTATTTGCCAGCATATATTCACAATGTGCTTGTTTACCTTAGTTACGCTGAAGGATAGTCACCTGGATATCACATGGTAACAGACGTTTGCTTAGAAGTCATTGTCTACAATATTTCATTGGGACAGCTTAAAATCTTAAAAACCGCCATCAAGATATTGTCTCTATACAAGACAAGAATCACTTGCAATGCCAAGCAGAACTAAAACAGGATGGTGGAACTGTTAATAGTTTAATGCCAAAATACTTAGAACGAGATACAAATTCCTAATCTGCTCTTAATAGTGTACTATTTAAGCTATATAATCCAATTATTGGGTGGAAAACCCATAGATATATATAGTTAGCAAAAACTACAGAACATAAAACCAATAATAACACCTTGTCATAGTTTATACAGAATGCTTCCTTTTTTATATGCAGATACATGTAAATTCCAGCTAGAATCAGTTTTTTAAATTTAGCCAACGTGTAGCCGCACCCTCTCCCGACAGATGTGCGGCTCAAGTATCGCGTAGGCTATTCAATATTGTTCACTTCACTGACAGGAAATTGTTTGGCAGCTAGGTAGGTTATAGGTTGTGCACTAATTAGGTTTATATTTTGAAATTGGCATCATAAATCACAAACATATGCTTCAGGGTAGCAAAGAGTTATTCCCAAGATCAGTAAGGCAAAAGACTACAAGTTTGCCCCCTACTTTATGTCTTCACCATGTAGCGTATATCTCCAAATTCTCTTCATTCTAATTAACCAACACATTTAGACATTCATCTAAAATATTCTTGGAGTTGGCTTGGGATATTGAAGAAAATATCTGTAAGACGGCATGAAAGTCAAGAAAATTTCATGGTAGGCCGGTGTAGGCTCGATTTCCGCCGTCTCCCGGGTCCGGTCTTGATCCTCCCCTTCGGGGGGATGAGTGCGGGCTCATTTTCCCGAACAGCGGCTGGTAATCGAGCCTAAGGCCGGTGGTAATTGTTATTTTTATCATAAGGGGCAAAATAAGCAAACTTTTCAGCGTAAATAAAACGCTAGGCAAGGGAGGGGGACGCTCACATCTTCCCTTACCCTCATCCCCTGACCGATTAATTTCTACTGTATTTTCTCTTTGGAAATTGTTGGCATGGTAACAGGTAGGAATGTTGAGGCCTTCCAAGGGGTAGAAGCGACAGGCAACATTGCGCCGAAAACTCTCTGACGACAGTCCTCTCAGAAAAAACCAACAATCGACAGAAAAGAAGGAAAGAATTATGACAGCGACAATACATTTTTAAGAAGTGAAAGCGGCATCTGTTCACCTTGCATTTCGGCTGTTTCGGCAGCGAAAGAGCAAATTCTCTTCCGTTATTTCCAAACATTTTTTGTTATTTTCTTTGTAACGTTATCCAATTATGGTATTGTTCAAGAACGATCATTCCAGGGAGAAAGTTTAATAACAATTAATTCTTACCAAGCTCTACATCTGCCGTAAAAATTCCAAAACTGAGTATCAAAAATTTATGCTGAACCAAAAGCAACGTTTTGTTACTAGCTAAAATGCGACAGGGACTTTATTCCTAACTTTCTTGGCGAAATGACCGACAAGGGCGATAGCATACCCCCGCCCCCTCCCCTCCTCAAAGTAACCGTTAACAACTACCATAATATTGGTTATTACTCAAAAGAGGATCTGTTAGTTCATCGATAGATGTATGAGTAATGTCATCCTTTCGAAAGCGTCGGCCAATCTTCTTGACAATATAAATAATCAAACGGAATGTTTGCGACAAAATGGCTGAAGCAGCTAACAAGGACAACAATGCGGGAACAAGTCCCATTGCAGCAAATTCGAACCACTGAAGTCCCTTCAGGAAAAGCTTGTTTCTTCCCTTGGCACTTATCCCGGAAGACAGGAGAGTGGCCTTTATAAGGTTGATTTTGGCGACGATTGCCAAGGTGACTAAGGACGTCGTTTCGGCTTTGTTAGCGGTGCTACTCCGGAATGGGGCCTTGATTATGTGGTGGATGGCCATGAGGTCGCACGCGCTAGCCATGAAGAAAAGTCGGATCATAGCGTTGGGGATGAACGAGTGAAATGTTAGAAGGATGAGCCGTCGACCAATCATAACGCTCTCCCAGTAAAGAGTGCCTTTATCTCGATCATTAGGTGCGCGAAATGGCTTGTGTAGGACCTTCATTACTTCAGCTCTATTGTTCAGCCTTGCTCCAGCTTCTTCGCTTTCATTTTCTTCCTTTCTTCTCTTGAAAACGCGCTTGAAAAGCCAATAGATTAGAAATGGCAAAGGAATAGCACAGGCTGCGAGAAATTCACCTGAAGAAATGGAAGAACCGTGCAGCTTTGAAGAACCGTAGTACAGGACTGCGATAAAGGGCACCACAAACACGACAATGTACCCAAGAAGGATGTATTGCCATGCCTGCCAACAGATCGTGGTACCATCAATGAACAGTCGATGCTCATTCCCAGTTCTTACACAGTGCATCAGCCCCAGCGAAGTTTCAGCCAGTCTATCGTATCCTAGCAACAATATCTCCAAGCAGACCGCCATGTAACGGCTCAACGATGGCTTTCTCACCTTCTTATGGAATCTGCTGATAACCAAGTGGGCGCAGAAAATGAGGGCGAGGTTCGCCATTGTTGCGAACACCACCAAAGAAAGAAGCAGTTCTTTGGTGACTGGGGTCAATCCCGGAAATGGACACTCGATTCTTAGGTAAACAGCGCGGACTTGAAAATTGAACGCTGAAATCATAGCAACAACGAGGGGCATTTCAGAAAGCAAGTCATCAAGAGAACTGCCTAGCAGCAAATCGGCGACTTGGTAGTAATAGAAGGCGATTTTTGTATAACCACTGTCTGACTCGTCGCAGTTTTCACTGTTTTCTTGGTTTTGTCTTCTCTCCTTCTTTTTCATGAACCATAAAATCTGTTGTGGACATAGAAGTCGAAGCAAAGGAGGATCAGTTAACAGATATAGCGCCAAGGCAGCCGAGAAAAGAAACATCGCTATCCAGAAGAGGTAATCTTTACATTGAGCTGTTATTCTGCACTCAGAATTAAATAGTGTTTCAGTGTAACCAGGTGCGCACTGGCCACACAGAAAACCAGTCCTGTTTCCATGGCAACTGTTGTACACTAACGATTGCGGGCTCGGTGAGCGGCAATAACCCTTGGGGCAGGGAACAAAGTTGAGTACTTGCCCCTCTCTTTCCGGCACATTGTATCCCCAGAAGTTTTCTATTGCCGCAATGCTTGATTCGTTTCTTATGCATGTAGCTCCCAACGGACACGGTTGACATTGGAATGAATCATCTACAGCAAGACCTTTTGAGAAGCCAGTTTGTAAGCTGTAATATCCGGGAGAGCACAGCTTACAGGAAAACCAAAGGACGGTCACGTTCTCTATGCAAAGGCGTTGTCTTTTTTCGGTGTACACAAAATGTGTTGCATTTGCAAGAGACATCTGACTTCCTTCGCAGCGAATGCTTGTTTCGCGGTCGATATCAACGTATCCTCCGTTGTAGACTGCTAACACAGAAAACGAACGCCTTGTAGAGGTGTTTGAAAACATAGACGAGTTCCGAAACTTGATGGGTCCTCCGCTTTCAGAATAAAAGAAGGCGACATTTTTGAATTTCCTGCCAGAGATAGTTGCATGGTACGTGCTACTAACAAAAGAGCAGTTGACGAATTCTACTCGACCAGTTCCATAGGCCGAATAAACTTGACCTGTGTGCATTGCTGCCAAATTGTTTTCAAAGGAGCAATTCCGAAAGGTAGTGTTTCCGTTACTAAGATACACTGCACCTCCATTGAGCCCAGCGTTCTCTTGAAATAACGTATCTTCAACAGTCACGTGACTGTCGTACTTCCTTAAAGGGTGAGTGTTGTTGTTTATGTTTCGTTCGACACACCCTGGTTCGTAGCGTTTGTCGGGGTTGGAGAGAATCGAGATAGCACCTGTCGCCGTCTCATAAGCAAATTTACTATCACCATAGTTCCACAGCTCTCGGCTAACAGACGTGCAGTGGCGAAAAATCGACCGCCGTATGGTTACATATTTCTTGCCACGGAAGTAAAGGGCGAAATAGCTGGCAGGACGAGAATCAAATATCACTTTGTCTATTTTTACTGTGGCTCTCGATGTTTTGGTTATCTTCCCCACTGCGGGCATATAAAATCGAATCGCGTGACCGTTTGACTGGCCGATGAAATTCGTGTTGTTCACTGTGAACGATACAGACCGAGCGTCTCTTACAGTTATAGACACATCGTAGACATTGCGTTTAAAAGTGCAGTTTTCAATTAGGATTTTGACAGGCTTCAAAGGCACGTCGCAGGGAAACAACCATTTTTTGGATGTTTGTAATCCGTGTCTGCAATAGGCGATGGTCACGTTCTTGAGCAAGATTTTATATTTTGGGTTGATTATCAGCGCTATATTTTGATTATTGTATATAGAAGTGTTGGCTACCAAAACCTTTCCTGTGTGTTTTTTCAGCGCTTCGATTCTCACGAACACACTTCCATTGTAATGACTGTTGCTGAAATTAGACTTCAAAATTGAAACATCTGTCTTCCAAGTACTAGTACTTGCTACGAATATACCTCCAGAGACCTTTGAAACAGTGTTTATCCAGTGAAAACGTTCAAATTCCACGAACCCATACTTCATCATAACACAAACACTGCTGTGTGGACCGGCGCAGTTTTTGACACGGACGTTTCTAAAATGCCCGTATAGAGCATAGGTTTTCGGTTTAGCTTTAGGACTGTGAGTTTTCCCAACGAGAACCGCAGAGCCGTGAGTTCCGGATTCGCATTCAGAAAAATTTACATTAGTGAGTTGAAGCGTTAGCAGATATCCGTTTACACTGTTGAAAGAAATCGCACCGCCACCGGTATATGCCTTGTTTCGCTCAAAAGTAGTGTTTGTAATAACCAAGGAAGCGCTGAGTTTGCATTCAAGACTCAAGGCTCCGCCCTTTCCTTTTTTCACAGTTTGCCCGACAAATGAAGAATTTTCGATTTTCACTTTAGCCTTGCTGGAAGAAATCTTAATGCACCTTAATGCCAAGTCATTACTGTTGTTACCGCAGAGAAAGTGGCGAAATCTTGTATCAGTTTTTCTTACTTGGGATATGTACATGCTATCCATATAGCGCCTGGCACTGTTTGTTGTGTTAGATGACCTCAAGTTATTGTTTAATAGAATTACATGGCTGTATACTTCCTTTGTGTTAGCTGTCGGTACATCTAGCAGCATGAAAGGAGCCTTGTTTTCGACGCTTGTGACTTTGTTTACTGAAATATTGATCTTAGTTTGCACTGATGAATTGGATTTACTGTTGGTTCGTATGGAAATCACAGCTCTAGTTGACTGATTAGATTGAAGGCCATTCTCTTGAAATATGGTGTTGTTCACGCCAAGCGTGAGGGAAAATCTCCTTTTGTTTCTTATCCAGACTTCAATGCATTGTTGGTTGTTCAGAAACAGAGATGGTCCCTGTATGTGTAACTGGAGTGTGGGAATATTTTTCGTCCAAACGCTGACGGCGGCTCTTTTGCCCGCGTTCTTGTAAGAGCAGTTTATAAGCTGAATTCTGTAGCAGTCATCAAATACAAGCGGTGCGTGCTCAAATGCAATCCCAGTCAAAGTAATTTTTATTTTTTGTACTTTATCTTTATGAAAGTGAAATCCTTTTTCACACTTAACATGCGGGGTAGAATCGAGGCGTTCTATAGACACGCCTTTGTTAATAGAAATTCCCCTACTCTTGCAGTCAAAGGGCTGGTCCTTCGTTCCAGAACCATTAAGATGAATGTGTCCATTTTTTACAACCTGTTGAACCGCTTTTGGTATGGACCGGCATGGTTCACTCTGAGGGCCACAGTTGTCGATATCTTGACCATGAATGGAAACATAAACGTCTGTACGGCTGCCTTCTGCTATACCTTGGTTTCATAAAATGTAACAGAATTAATATAATTAAGAAATGATTTTACAGGGGCACCCAACGACGATTTCCTCCTAAATACACTTTTTAGGCGGCTATCCGAAGTACATGTAGATCTCTAGAAGTGCATTCTAAGCGACACTATACAATTTGTGTCTGTTCGGTCATCCTAGGGTAACCTGAGTCTTTTCAAAATTACAATGAGGGCTGGAGGATCATTTCTCTGAAAAATTTGTATGTAATTTAAAGTATTACGAAAGTGAGAATTTATCTTATTCCTCTCTCCATCACATTTTTAAATCCGAAAATTTTAGGTTTCCTTTTTTGTACGAAAGATAGCTTAGCCTGGGTAGTTACATGAAAAATTAGCGGTCCTGAAGTAATAGATAATTCTAGGCAATGTTTGCATCTCCGAACAGATATTTTATAGAAAACAGTCGTTTGGTGCTCGTGATTGTTGCGATTATAAACTCAAGGTATGCAGTTGTAGCATAGCCCTGAAATACAGTAATCCTCAAATTTGCGCCTGGCACTCCTTTAAGTTTCTCAAAGGGGGCGCTTAGTTAAAGGGGGAGATAGATAATTACGTGACAATATATGCGCGAGCAATTAGCGTAATTTCAAATGATTTAGAGCGGGCTTATATTTCAAAATAAATATCTTTTCTTTTCTTTTCTTTTTTTTTTTTCTAATTTTCTCTGAGGAACTAAGTACTTTATAAAATGGTGAAAATAGAGCCGAGTGGCTCTGGGGGCGAGAATGAGTCCGAATATGCATTTACCAGTGAATGCGCATGTTCCCAGTATCAAAGATGGTACCAACCTCGTCCTCAGGAGTCCCTGTTGTGCAATCTCATTCTCAGAGGCCGCGATCCTTTTGGTCAGCGACAGGGCGGCGCATGATAAAAGGGACCCCTACTGGGGACGAGGTTGCGTTTTCAGTCACTATTGCGTTTTCGTGTGGACAGCCAAAAACATTATTCAAGAAAAGCATCGTAGCACTAAAATAGGGAATCTGGAATCCGGATACGAAATCATGGAAACGGAAACGGAGACAGAAACGGAAGCGGAAAACGGAATCAAACATCAATGATAGAAAATTAAAGAATTTCACATTGCGTAATTTAGTACAATCCAAAGAGCATTTGTTTTAGTTTTCTTTGAAGTTCCCTTATATTTTTGTTTATTGGTTCTTGATAAGGTTTGCCAAAGTGTGATTTATTGCACTGCAAAGCCGATAAAAGTAATTTTACAAGTTATTTTTATTCACGAGTTTATTGGTTGAATAATACAGTTAAACATTACCTTTTCAGCTAAATGTCATTAATAGTAGTAGTTGGCGTCGGTCCACACTACATGATTGTCCCCAAACTAAATACTCAACACATGGCCGACCCATGACGTGATCACAGTTCCGGTGTCTTAGCAAATAAGTTCAACTTTTTCGCTAAGCTGAATGCTGATGGAATACTGGTGTAACTGAGTTTGCGTTAAAGAGGCTTATTAAACATGGCGTATTATGTTGATGTAGTTAGCCTGTTCCAGGCATTTCAGATCGGGGCGACAGCGCACAATCCGAACGCCTGGAACAGCCTATGATGTAATCAGTTGCGGAATCAAGCAAATGCATGAACAATTTTCTCTTCTCTTTGGACTCCACAATGCCATGGTTCTCTTGGGTAAGTTGTCTTGATAAATAGAAGTGAACACTGTTGAAGACAGCCCAGAAGAAACACCCAGGAAAAACTTGACGACGACGCCTTTCTGGTGTATAAACGACGCCTCTGTCGATTAAAACGAAGTCTGTCTCCATATCACTTACCTCCTTTTAAAGGGACTAATTATTCCCAGTTACTTCTTCTCATCAGCTATAGTTTTTCTCCTCGCTTTGCTGCCCATGAGCGTTTGCATTCATTGTCGGAAGTGGTATCAAGAGTCTTTTCACCGGAATCGACTCCTCTAGTCATACAGCAGTCTCCTCTACTCAGGTAATTTATTCATTTATGTCTTTATTTATCTGTTTATTTATGGTAGTTACTAAAACAAGGAACCACCTGAAACCACCTGAAACCACCTAAAACCAGCAATAATTTTTTTTTAATTTTTAATTTTTAATGATGTACCAGTGAGCAGCACACTGACACTTCCAGTGAACAATTTCACTTGGAAGAAGGAGAAACCATGCTCGCCCGGGGCAACGAAAATTTTGGTGCCCCTGGCGAGAAGCGAACTCGCGACCTTCCGCATACTAGATCGGACGTTCTAACCACTGAACCACAGGGCTCTAGCGTTAGTGAAGTCGGAATTCTACTATACCAGCAGATTGTACTACTGCTCAGTTTCTAGAGTGGCTTCTGCTAGTTTCAGTTTTTAATTTTTAATGATGTACTAGTGAGCAGCTTTCTCCTTCTTCCAAGTGAAATTGTTCACTGGAAGTGTAAGTGTGCTGCTCACTGGTACATCATTAAAAATTAAAAATTAAAAAAAAAAATTATTGCTGGCTTTAGGTGGTTTCAGGTGGTTCCTTGTTTTAGTAACTACCGTTTATTTATTTTATTGTCATTGCTAATATATTCGATCCGCATTCCGTTTCCGTTTCCGGATTCTATGTTTCAGGGTGTTTTTGAAAACGGAGCAAAAATCTTCAGCTTTCCTTCGTGTAGACGGGGCCTAACAAATGGTTGATGAATCAACTGTATTGGATCAATAAATAAATTTTAAGGGTGAATTTTGTTTCTCGTTGATGCCGGATATTTGAACAAATTGTGATCGATGTCATTGAGATCCACGACATTCAAAAGCATCTGGTTAGCAGGTTGTCAATAGCTTACGTTCGATATATTAAAATTCTTACGTGACTCTGATAGAGGCATTCTGGTCATTTTTCAATGTTTGGCTTGGGTTTGTTTTTGAGTCAAGTCTCTTCTCAGAATTGCGAGACAGTCCTTTACAATAAAGTTGGGCTAAACACGATATGCCATGTGAAAATTCTTCCAGAGGCCTCGTTGGGACAAAATTGCAATTTTTCACAACTCCAAAAGCCTCGGAGTCATGTTAGAATTTTGATACATCGAAAGTGGGCTATAATCATGTCATGGACCATCTTAAAAGGTCTTTTTTTATCCTACCTAGACTTGCCTCAAGTCGACTGCGTGAGCGCCGAGGGAAGCTCGCGAAGCGAGCGAATGCGACCGACAGCAGAACCGGAAACGGGCTTTGATAAAGTCTACATCGAACCTAGCGTGCAGTCGTGGCTCATGCAGAAAAGATTCCTGACTTGTCTTTGCTCAACTAATGGCTCTTACATTTTTGATATTTTCACCAGCGCTCTTGTAATTTTCTAGTAAGGCTGCAGGAGAAATTTGTCTAGAGAAACGAGAGTCGACCATGATTACAAGTTTGAATTACTGAGGAATGCAGGGAAAAAAATCATCTGCCATTTTCGGTTGTATTTCTTCCCCATGAAATTTATATACTGGATTTAAAAAATATCCTGGCGTCTAATCTGAAACAGTTATATATTTTGGGCGGATCGAAATACAGTTTAAATTTGCTCTCTTTAAGTGAGGAACATCACGGAAAAACGAGTTTCTAAAAGTGATAACAGTAAAAATTAAAAAGAATTTCGTAGAAGTATATTAAGAGCGCTTTGAGTTCATGTGTTCGTCGTTAATTTAATCTACAGAGAATCTGTTAAATTTTAAAAAAAAAAATAGAAAAATGGAAAGAAAGAGGCCTTTACCTGTACTGCCGCTTATGGAGAAAACAAAAATTAAAAAGAATTTCAATTCGTACAAGGATATTAAGAGCGCTTTGAGTTCATGTGCTCGTCGTTAATTTAATCTACAGAGAATCTATTAACAAAAGAATAGAAAAACGGAAAGAAAGAGGTGTCTACCTGTATTGCCGCTTATGGAGAAAGCAAAGAGACAAAAAGACCAGGCAAATTCACAAAGCATCATGATCGTTTGGGCAAAAATCCGACAGAATAATGTTTCCTTTCACCTCACTGGTACAGCAACCTTTCGGGCTAGCGCTGTCCCAAGGCTGCGTTTTAAGGGTCGCAGCCTGGAAACTGAAACTTCCTCCAGATGACGTGAATTAGGAAATGAAAGGCTATTTCTCAATAAGCGCAGGTGGCCTTCTAGTATTAGCATAAAAAAATTCTTTCAGTTAACTGAAACTATTTTTTTTTTTTACTAGTTTTCGTGCACGGTGACTACGTCCTCTGCTCGAGATACGTATGTATATGGGAAGACAAGCTGGCCACGATGATCATAGGATTTGTTGCCAAGGAGGCAACCGAGCTAAGAAGCGAGGTTGACTCGGCGGCAGAATTATAACGCTGCGCAATGTAGGCAAAAACTCTCAAATTCTGCGTAACCCTCTAAAATTTGCATTTTTGACCATATTTGGGTGTAAGTAAGACCCCATATTTGGGTAGTGACGTCATGGTCTTGTATTTACAACTCGTGGTCCGAAATTGGGTGATTCAATGTAAAGCTGTTCGTGTAATATGTCAAAAACGAGTGCGAGTGTTTCATCAGGGGTTCCAGACACCGTGAAACAGATGAAAATTATTGTTTCGAGGTGTCTGAAACCCCTGATGAAACACGAAGCACGAGTTTTTGACATGACTTCTCAAACTAGTGTGAGAATTTAGTGGAATTATTTCCGAAGAATAGGTAATTAGCAGACGTGCTCAATAGGCTATTGTTTGTTTCTTATTCGTAATAAATGAAATGAATATTTAATATGCGGCCATGCTGGCGGGTTTTTTAGTAGATTAACATTACGGAGCGTGATGGAGGTCGAGCCCGGATCAGAACGATTTCGCGTTTCTAAAACGTCTTTCCAAGAAAATGTTCTGGTGAATGACGCCGTTCCAGCTTCAACTAAGTATAAAAACAACTGGGCTGTGAGCATTTTTTCGGAATGGCAGAAGTTAAGAGAGGTTCAAGTTCCGTTATTAGATTGTGGTGGTCTCTTCAAGGACTACGATTTACACAAGGTTACCACTCTGAGCGCAGATATTGCCGGAATGGATGCTCTGTCGCTGAACTATTGGTTGTCAAAATTCGTGATGGAGATAGCTAAAAAGTCCGGTGGAAGATACCCTCCCAAGACTGTTTATGGTATCATTTGTGCTCTCAAGCGTTATTTGGAGGAGAAAAATGGATCCGAAGCTTTGAATCCTCTGGACGCTGGTGACAAAAGGTAATTGACAACTTTTAGACCGCATTTTTCAGAAGTTTAAAATGCACTGTTTTGGGAATTGAATTTGGTGTGTTGTTTTTGAAGGTTTATCCTGTTTCGACGTTGCTTAGATGCCGAAATGAAGAGATGAAGGATGGCGTTCGAGAAGGGCATAACATTAAGTGCAAGAAGGAGGAGAATGAGTTTGTGAGCGAGCAAGAAGAAGCAACATTCTGGGAGAAGAAATTGCTGGGAACTACATCAGCTAAGTTGTTATTGAACACGATCTATTTCTACAACGGAAAAGTTGAAAGAATAATATGTTGCCCTATTGTTGTTGTAAGTAATGATTGAAGCGGAAAATTTACTGTATTTAGTATTGAGACTGATTAAAATTCAAGTTTCTTGATCAGTATCTTGATCAGTTTTTGAACTAATCGAATGTGTCTTGATCGGAATGTTCATTGGGTATCAAAATACATGCACCTGACTCAATTGATGCAAGCTGATTGGGTCATCAGTACATGAATAATTAATGAGTTTGAGAATGTCTGTCAAGAGGACGTAACAGGTAAGCAAGCTTTAATACGATTTCTAATTTGAAAGGGCAGTAAGTGTTCTGGTTTGCTTTGTAAATTGCGTTTAAAGCAGCAGCTTAAAAAAATAGGGTTTTACGCTCAAATTTTTCTCAGAACCAGCTTGTTCCGGCTTTGCAATTCTCAAAACTTTTATCAGAACCAGCGTGTTCTTCGCAGGTCGATTTACATTGAGCCAGTCCTCACCTCCCGTTTGGAATGCAACGTATTTGCTGACCTTTTACTTTAGAATTTATTCGAGAGATTTTGTCAACCAGCATGTTTTTTTGCTGCTCGATTTACATTGAGACAGCCCAAAACTCCCGTGAGGAATGCAACGAATTTACGGACCTTTCGTTTTGAAGACTATTATTATGCCTTTCAAGAGACTCTTTGTCCTGTGACACTCGCTCATTAGATCTTTGTATTTTATTCAAGTCTATATTTTTATACCTCTGATACATTCCGCTCCATTCTTGCGCTTTTCACACATTTTACTTTACACCAATTTTTTCTTATGTATATTACCACGCGAAACATTTTTCTTATCCCTGATGATGCTGTTGCTCAGAATTTAATTATATTTATAATTTCAGCAGTCAAAGGCCTCATTTGATCTATCTTTTTCTTTCTAACGTTTATAGTTTTGATACAATTGAATTTTCCATGAAATATAAGTACTAACTTGCTCATATTTACCAACAAAGCTTCAAGCCATGTTGTTATTGTTTAATAATTAAAACGTGAAAGCCTGCAATGTGCCAAAGTTGTTGTTTTGAAGTTGGGTGCCATCCTTTTCTATAGCGGAATCCATTTTAAACCTCTAAAATTATATAAAAAGAAATTATCGCGAAGATCTGAATAGACACATTTCACAAAAGATAAACGAATTCGCCTCGTTGGCACTTGCTGGAAGGTACCCCTAGTTTAGTTCGAAGATGTCTTATACCGTCCTTTAGTAGACCTTTTTACCGATACGGCGGCCATATTGAATTAATTCGATTTAAGGAGTATTATAGGATGCCCAGGGGGCATGAGCACATTTCGCTTGTATTTTCGAGCGCTTTTCGGGACATTTTTTCTTGAAGTTTTCTTAGAATAAGATTCTAATGGGAAAAAAGATCCTTGTGCCGTGTTTGGATGTAATAATGATCGCCTTTTTCTAGTTTAATACTAGAAATCTGGTCTTTCGCTGTATATTTCTCGTTAAAAAGGCGATCATTATTACATCCAAACACAGTACAAGGATATTTTTTCCCACTACAATCTTATCCTAAGAAAACTTTAAATGTCCCGAAAAGCGCTAAAAATAACAAACGAAATGTGCTCATACCCCCTGGGCATCCTATAATACTCCTTAAATCGAATTAATTCAATATGGCCACCGTATGGGTAAAAATGTCTATTTAATTCTCCCTTTCGTAAGTGAAAAAAAGAATAAAAAAATAATAAGAGCGGGGTACAATAACTTACAAAAGACAATACATGAAGACATTGGCTAGACTTACTAAACATTCAGTTTGTACCCTTGTGATTGCCATCTGTAAACCATGCATTGTTTTGCCCCGTGTGGTTTCCTGTACATTTTGAACCTATATTTGCTTGACTACTTTGTACTCTTTTTGGTGATTGTTCAACAGAGTATTAAAATCATAGACCTGTTTGTTTTGACGCTGAGAACGACAATCAATGTAGGTTATAGTTGTATACGGAAAATCCTTTAGCTTTAGAAAGGGAGCTTAATTATAATTTCCTTTAGAGCATTCCACACTGCCCTCGGGAAGATACTTCCTTTCAAAGAATAATAGTAAGTGCCGTCGCCACGTTTTCAATCTCCTCATTCTGAAACTGATGCTTTAAAATCTGACTGTATAGTAACGAGCCTTGTCGCAAGAAACTAGGCTACTTGGTCCTGCGCTTAACTTTAGTTTTGAAAGCTTTAACTAAAATAAATGTTTGTGCGGCAAAACTGTCGGACAAACCTGAAAATCGTTCCGTCCCAACAGTTTCGACGTCCGAACATCATTTACGTACCCTACAAACATTTTAGGGTATTTATATTCAGTTCGAAAGCAAAGTTACGGTAAAATTGACCATCTCCAAAAGAAGCAGAGCTTAAAAAACTATTCAGAATATTTTAATTTGTTTTTTACTAAAATAAAAAGATCTTCATAGGTTATGTAATTAACTTTCAAGGAATTATGAGCGCCAGTTGTCACCAATATTTCTTCCTCGTCTCCAGCTTCAGCGATCAATTTTTGGGGGATATTTGAGTTAATTATTAACTGAAAGCGGGGATCAATCACCGCTTGCGCTCTACGCTCGTTCCGTCATCCTCCTCTCGCGCTTCTCGCTTGTCTCCAGCTCTCGCGTATTGTTTCTCGCTGCTCCCCACTGAGCCTTGGAAAAGCCTATGAAAGAGGCAGCCAACATTTTACATAGTTTTGATCTCAGTCTGTCCGAGTTTGTTGTGTGGTGAAAATTCTTAGAGAAGCTGTATTCAAAAATTGAAAATTTCAAGGCGGAAAAACGCCCAAGAAGTTATTACTAAAACTGCGACCGAAAATGCCTTGTAGGTAGACGGAAACCATCCAGTAATGGCGGTGTAGAACGAGGCTCACAAAACTAAAGGACTAGGAGTTACTGATTAACGCCGGTGAACATTATCACGGTTCCTGTGCGTTTTATCTCGACAAACTTAGATGCTTTATTAGACAAAGACTACCCAATCATTGAATCATAAGTACGAACAATAGTATTCAAAACACTTTTAACCTTATGAAACAGAAAATAGCATCTTTTGCTTTCTGGAAAGTGCATTAAATTTAAATAAATTACCAGCTCTTTTTATATAAGAATTTAAAAATAAATACTGATTCTTTCAAAGAGGGTTTGGATGGGAGGGTACAAATGTCAGTTGTCAGTTAAAATTTTGGCCATTTGGCAGTTGTCAGTTACATTTTTGGCCTTTTGTCAGTTGTCAGTTAAATGATTATTAATAATTAATTATGAAACTTATTTGTTCATTTTCGATCCGAAATTTAGCTAAAAAAGCAGTGTTCTTACCAGGATTTTCTACACTGGGGTCCACAGGACCCACAGAGAAGCTAAAAGGGAGTCACGAGGGAGAAAAGCGGGTCACAGTATATGAGTACATCCTTCAAGATGACGGAGCTTCGTAACGCATCATTTCACACATGAACATTCGCAGAAGTCGTCATTCTATGGACGCCGCTGATTGGGTGTTTCGTAAAGTCGCTATCACCAATTAATGTTTACGTACGTTTTTTTATTTGGGCGTCGCCCAAATAGTGTAATCGAGATCGATCGTTTTGATTCAAATTTACAATAGGCACGCAATACGTGCGAATGTAAACAAGCCAAGCGACGCGAATATCTGCCAAGCGAATGACTCGTACAAGGTAAAAAGTATGCCGGTAAAAAGTATTTCCAGTGCAACCGACAGGTATGACGCTATTTTTGTTGCCAGACTCCTGTCAACACTCCGCCGCACCAACCAGGGGAGAGCTGGGTCAGAATGAAGACTGGGGATGATCTGAAACTATTCATTCGGGATTGATAATCCTCGCGCACTTTCACGAATCTACGGAAAAAGAAGGAATAGAATATAGGAAGAGATATCAATAATTGTGGTTTTGTATTGTAGCCTTACTTGTTGTTTTTTAGTACGATAGTCACTTTGTTATTGATCGCGTCGCGACGTTCTAATCGCTTACTGCTGGTCTTTATCACCAAGGTAAGCGGCTCCGCTATATTTCAGTAGGATCGTCGGAATCGAGGGGGTTTCATAAATGTGGTTGTTTAAAATAGAAGCTAGAAGAAGATTAGTGCATGGTTAAGCCTTCAGAGTGTTAAGTTGCATACGTTTTAAGTTAACGTTAATAATCCAATGTTATACTTGCAAATTGCCGGTAAAACCGCCTGTTTACTACCAATTTTCTATGTGTGCATCTCAATAGGTCATGCTAAGATCCGCTTTAGTTCACCCGCATATCCATCCCCAATCAGTGATTCTTAAGTTCCCATAAAATCCATTTTCCTGGTTTAAGATAACTGCTACTTTGGACTAGGCCTCATTGATCCGCGCGATCTGTGCGTTTCGGGTCACGTGGTACGAGCAAGCTTTGCACCGTTCGTCTCCGATACGTTCTCGAAGTGCTTTGAGAAGGCCTGGAAAGAAGCCGTACCAGGACTAGGCCGAACTACTCCCCTATAAATGACGGGCGTCCTCAGCGTACCTTTCATGGATTTGTGGATTTGTATCTTTACTTTCACGGGCCTTTAAGGGTAACGCGCCGAAAAATGACGTGAACTACAATCGAACCTCGTCCCCAGGGTCTTCTGTGCCGAAAAGATGAAAAGATGAGATGATCCTGGGGACGAGGTTGCCTACAGTCGACTCTCGCCTTGAGGAACATTGCGAACACCTCGTGATAACAGCCGGATTATACGGACAGCATCTAAATCCCTGGCATAACTTACAGACAAAGGAGTTTCGGGTAGCTTTAAGGGTGTTTTTGGAATTACTCGACAAGAACCCTCATCCCACTTTTATAAGGGAAAATCCCACGGGCGTCTAGTAGCCGTCAGATAGGTGCGATCACGGAGCTCTCGATTGTCAGGCAACGCCTCTGTATGCGCATTGCGCGACGACCTAAATAACAGCAAAGAAGGAGATCGCGGTAGTTTAAGGCAGCAGCTACAGAAAATTCGTTGCATTTATTTATATCGGACGAAAAACCGTTGCGGTCAAGGCTCTCGTTTAAAATTTAACGCTTAAATAGCAGACAAGCGTTATTGGGGGCCCTCAAGCGGGTTTTGGTACGTGAGCGTGAAGCGCAAGAGGAAGGAAAAGAGAAAAGTCCTTCCTCTCGCGTGTCTCGAGCGTCACGCACGCCTCTTAGTGCCCCCCAAAACGCGGCTTATGAAGGCCATAGACGGAGAATAACGGTTATCTTAATTCACCATCTATCGTCGAGTATTAGTTCCACCCTATCACAACACTCTGGACCTAACAATCACTTAACGATATAGGGGTTGTAAAGAACACTCTCGTACAGTTTGAATTCGACTTTTACTTCTCGATTCACTAGAACAATTACAGCAAAAAAAAGAAAATACAGAATTAATAAACGCTGACCGAAAGCCTTACAAAAACGATAACTTAAAGTACCACAAATGACTAAGAAATCGAGCAAAAATTACAGAAAAAACTATACTTACAAGATCTGTACGGCAACTCCGGATACAACTAAGCGACTGATTTACATGAACCAAAAATAAGACTTTATACTAAACTGGACTGAAAATAATGAACCTAACGAACTTACAAAAATTGACAATAACGATTACGTAACGCAACGCCGAGACTAGAATACAGAAAGAATACGCATATGAAAAAAGGCTAACAAAAGAGTACTCCAAGCGCGATAACAAAGGCACTAATTAAACTAACTTTACGCAACGCAAAACATGAAAAAATAAAGAACAGGAAAAAACTCGCAGTCTCTCGTGGCTACAGGGGTGTCTCAATGAGGTGGTAGCGTTGACGGTTGACGGTAATTTTTTTCCAATTTTGGCGATTGACAGTTTTAAATATTAACTGTTATATGCGTTATTGATCAAGCGTGAGGTCAAGATGGCTGGATATTAGCCATATTATGTGGCCAAAAAGAGTTTTTTTCACTCGGGTTATGGTAGTAGCCCACAATCCGGAGCGAGCAACATCAATACGCTCGGACCATTTTTCACGGACCATTTTTTTTAGAACGTTTTTGGCGAGAATTTTGAATATCTTTTAAATTCCACAAACCTGTCAGCAAAACTGTGACCTACAGACCTAAAAATGATATTTTTTTGCCTTTAAATGAGTTTAGTTTTCCTTTTTGATGTCTTATACTTTAAATGCGCTCATAGACATGGTGGAGATTCTATTTTCGCGGGAAAAAGTGCCCTAAAATGTGTCTAAAAATAAACTGGTCCGTAAAAACGCCGTGACATGGGACTAGTATGGGAGTTGCTCGCTCCGGGTTATGGGCTCCTGTTGACGGTTATAATAATATTAATTCTGCATTTTTGAAGGTTAACGCTTTAAAAGAACTTTTTTGACGGTTGACGATTAGCCCCATTGAGACCATCATAAAGCCAACGAACTCCAACCAAAATTTGCGTTAAAACATTGACACCGTCTGTAAATCAGATCTAGAAGTATCATCTCCATTTCCTAACCCAGGGGACCACTCGAAAAATGTTCAGCCTCCTCCCCCTCCCCGCCTCTCCATAGTGCTTGAATGCGAGTTCAGTTACCATACACTGTTTAAAACCGGTTAAATGAGGACCGTGAAAAGTGTTGGCACGGTGCTCGGCTCCTGCGTTGTCGTCGGGAAAAGAAATAGCCGAACTAGTGCCTAAAAACATTGCAAGAACAGCAAAAATACAACTCGACGGATGATAGTTGCTATTTGAAGAATATCTGCTAAACTAAATATCCCCATTTATTAAAACCTGAATCATTGGATGATGCTATTCTAGAGCTCTGATTGTCTTAGGCATCATGGTTTCTGAGCCATTATACCATGCTCTCCAAATATGGTAATTGTACGTGCCTGCTCAAAATTTAACAAAAGCTGAAAATCGGGTTGTTTTTGAAAAAATAAAGTGGGACGAGTTCTCGATATTTTGTGGGCGTTTTTAATAAAACAATTATTCCACTTGCGCTTGTTGGATACGAGATGATTATGGCTCACTACCATCTCATATCCAACGCGCACTCGTGGAAAACAGTGAACTTCCTTCATAGCGGACATTGTATGGACCTCGAGTTAGTGTCCTCATTAGCGAGAGTCCGCAATAGCGGGAGTTTATTTCAGTCAAACGTCTGTAAATTGTTTTTGCCGGGGATTTAGCTGCTGTCCGTTTTAATCAGAGTGTCCGTTATAGCGGGGGGTCCGCAAGGCGAGATTTGACTTTAATTGTTAAGTATCCTGAGTTTGAAGAGGAAAAGGCATGTGAAGACGATAAACTAACGTTCACCAAGGTATTAAAGAATGTTTAAGCATGTAGATAGCGATATTAGTGTTGTTTTCGTATGATCTGACTCAGCACCTATTCTCCCCTCCCCCCTCAAATGCAAACTGTTTATCCCAAAAATAATGTGTTTTAAGAACATGGCGACATGGATGTGGATATGACAATCTGGTAAGTAAACGGGTGTGACAGAGTGCGAACCCCCTCTTTGAAAAATCCTAGCTACGCCCCTGACTACCTTATTATAGAAACCTTAACGCTTATTGAAATTAACGCGAATTTCACCTTAATTCATTTTGTAAACGTTAATTTCTGCGCAGTTAATTACGTGGAGCGTTAATTTCTGCGAACTTTACTGTTCCCATTCCAGAAACAGTGAAACTGTGAAGAACCCCCGAAGTGGCCTGATTTCTTCACTTGACCCCCTTGCGTACGTTCAGGGAACCACGAACAAAGTTCTCATTTCGGAATATACATTTAACTTTGTTCCCGCTGTCTCAACAAGTTTTGGTTCTTTGTGAAAGTCGCGTTAATTGACTTTATTTTGAAATGTTACCCTCTTTTTTGCGTTCATTTCCTTCATTCGAAAGTCGTTTTCCACTAAAGTCGCGTTAATTTCCAATGCCTTAATTTCATTCACCATTTTCACATAGACCATAATGCAGCTTCCATTTTTACCCCCCAAAATTTTGCATAACCATTGTCTTCGAGTTCTCTTAGGCCGACTATAAAACAATTCGAACCAATCGATATGCAAAATTTTGGGGTGTAACCAAGGTGCATTATGGTCTATGTGAAGATGTTAATGGAGCGTTAATTTCCTATAACAAGGTATACAGATCTGCTTTCTTCAGTTAGCACGAGATCATCTATTAAGCGCATGCAAGTCCATCCGTTTAGATCCTGTGAAATAAAACGATCAACTTGAAACCTGAAATGACTCCTGGGTTCAAATATTTCACAGTTTTGAAGAAAGACCTTGCTCAGTGCAAGTAACAAAACAGTAAAATAACTTACTGTAAACAATGTCTCGCTCATCAATTTCATTCTTGAGTTTATGCAGCTGATAAAGCGCCTCGCAAAAAGACTTGTGGTCTTCCACGTTTATATGAACGTCCGGACCGACCGGGTGAATAATACCAGATTTCCACCTTCTATGGAACTCCTCAAACAGATCCCCTTGGGGTATATTCGGTAACATCCCCGTACCATTGCCAAAGATCCAAGTACTTCCAAGTTCGTGCAACATGCCTGTTAATTCTTCGTCGTCATCATCATTAAAGTCAAAATTATGGTCGACGCAGTTTCTAATGTCAAATTTTAATGTAGTCTGCATCTTATAGACAGTGAAGCTTCTCCAACAGAAATGTTGCTGATGTTTTAGCAAAGCCAAGTATTATTTTGTCCTCCTTAACATGCCTATCACAGGTGCAACATTGGTGACAATTCTTGGGATGTCTGTTTACTCAACATATGCTTATTTGCCAGCATATATTGACAATGTGCTCGTCTACCTTGGTTACACTAAAGGATAGTCACCTGGATATCACCATGGTAACAGATGTTACCATGGTGACAGTCATTGTTTACAATATTTAATTGGGATAGCTTAAAATCTTAAAAACCGCCTTCAAGATATTGTCTCTATACGAGACGAGAATCAACTGCAATGCTGAGAACAACTAAAGCAGAATGGTGGACATGTTAACAGTTTAATCACGAAATATTTATTCCTTATCTGCTCTTAACACTGTAATATTTAATCTATATAATCCGATTATTGCATAGAAAACCCATAGATATATATATTTAGCAAAAAGTGCAGAACATACAACCAATGATGTACTTTGTCATAGTTTATACAGAATGCTTCCTTTTTTATATGCAGATACATGTAAACTCAAGCTAGAATCAGTTTTGCAATATTGTTCACGTCACTGACAGAAAATTGTTTGACAACTAGTAGGTAGGTGATGAGTTGTGCTATAATTAGGTTTATATTTTGAAATTAAAATCATAAATCACAAACATATGCTTCTACATCTACATAATTTATTTGCAAAATCCTATAAGGACGTCTAGCAAATTCCAGTGCAAAGTGCAAGAATAAAAATGAATAAATAAATATGCGCAAATAAGGTTATTTAAGAAATGGTAAACGTGCAGCGTGCAACCATGGAGTTATGGATGCACGCGGGAGGTTGCTAAGCACGAAAGAAGCGTAAGAGTCGCACGAGGCGATAGCCGAGTGCGACTCTAGCTTCTTGAGTGCTTAGCAAACCTCCCAAGTGCATCCATAACTCCATGATTGCACAGCTGCAACGTTTACAGTTTCTTTTATAACATAATCAAAAGAGAAAAACATTGTTTTCCATTTGCCTTCAGTTGAGTCATCGGTCGGAGTTCATGTATGCTGCCATCTGCCCGCGCGTAAACAAATCATGTTCTATGTTTTTCAAAAACTTGCCTTTGAGTTTTTCTTTCGCTGAATCAGCCGTTCTCCGTCTTCAGGTAGATTGCAAAACGTTTTTTGTTGTTATTGTGAATGGCATCTGTCTACTTGCTCTTAATATTAGGGTAAAAACTTTGAGGGAAAACTATATCTGCAACTATAAACACCAACTAAAAAGACTCTAAAAAATAAGCTAAAACTAAATAAATGAAATAATTATCAAGCTTAGTTATGTAACAATTTTTGAAATAAACGTAAAGTAGAAATGAGAAAATTTGACAGTAATTCCTTTAGAATAACAGGTAACACTAATTTTAAAAAGAAATTAACTAGCTTTGTTTCGAAATCTGTGTGGGGAAATCCAGCTATGAAAGTCAACTGATATTCGCCGACACACAGCCGGCGCTGAAGCTGTTGTTTTTCGACTGTTCCCTGAACGACTGTTATGAATGAACACTGAGGAACAAAATAATACACACAGAAGTTATTTTTTGAAAAATTTATTTGAAAACCCAAATGTTTCTGTACTCAAATGAAATTCGCTTATTCCAGCGTTATGTGCCCGTTTAAACTCAACTAAAATTGTTAATCGATGCGATGAAAACTTCACAACAAAGCTGTCTCGAATTTGAGCGTGTTTCCTAAAATATTTGCTTGAATTTAGCATCAGCTTGACCAAAAAGTCAATAACACAATGGTAATTGATAAATTTACATTTCAAACAGACTTTCTCCTCTATAAAAAAACACAGAAAATGTACCTTAAATCTTCGCTCGCTCGATTTTCCTCCAGCCGATTCTAGCCGCGAGGAAAACAGTGATTAATTCATCCAGGGCAAATTTGTCGCTTGATCTTTTGTCTTTTTTCCTTCAAAACGACAGCTTAGTATTTTCTGCACCTTCCACTTTTCATCTGTGCATTTCATCGGTGTATTTTACCGTCAGGAGAGGAGATTTGTTGAATTTGCCTAAATTTTACCGCGCTAGCTCAGTTTCTTAGCGTGCACCCACGGGCAAATGGTAGTGGCTAACTGACCAATCAGAGCGCGCGATTTACTTTTGTTATGTTATAAAAATAATTGTGGTATAGTAATGATGACATAAATAACAATCACTTAATAACTAAGTTGATAAAACTAAAACTGCAACTTAAGCTTCAGGGTAGTAAAGAGTTATTCCCAAGATCAGTAAGGTAAAAGGCTACAAGTTCGCCCCCTATTTTCCGTCTTCACCGCCAAGGGTATATCTCCAAATTCTCTTCACCCTAGTTTAATAAGACCTTCAGACATTCATCTAAAACATTCTAAGGCATTGTCTTGGGATATTGAGGGAAATCTCCTTAAGATGGCATCAAAGTTCAGAAAGTTTCATGGTAGGCCGGCGGTAGTTTTATTTATATCCCAAGGGGCAAAATAAGCAAACTTTACAGCATAACCAAAACACTAGGGAAGGGAGGGAGGCTCACATCTTCCCTTCCCCTCTGCCCCTGACCAATTAATTTCTTGGAAGTTGTTGGCATGGTAACAGGTAGCAATGTTGAGGCCTTCCAAGGGGTAGAAACGAAAGGCAACATGGCGCCGAAAACTGGCGACAGTCCTCTCAGAAGGAACCAACAATCGACAGAAAAGAAGGAATGAATTGTGACAGTGACAATCCATTTTTAAGAAGTGAAAGCGGCATCTGTTCACTTTGCATTTCGGCTGTTTCGGCAGCGAAATACCAAATTCTCTTCCGTTATTTCCAAACATTTTTTGTTATTTTCTTTGTAACGTTATCTAATTGTGGTATTGTTCAAGAAAGGTCATTTCAGGGAGCAAGGTTAATAATAATTAATTCTTTCCAGGCTCTATATTTGCCGTAAATTTCAATACTGAGTATCAAAAATTTATGCTAAAGCAACAGCGACATTTTGTTACTGACTAAAATGCGACAGGCAGTCTCAGAAATGACCGACAAAAGCGATAGCATACCCCCGCCCTCTTTCCCCTCCTCAATGTAACCGTTAACAGCTACCATAATCTTGGTTACTACTACAAAGAGGCTCTGTTAGTTCCTCGATAGATGCATCCTTTCGAAAGCGTCGGGCAATTTTCTTGACAATATAAATAATCAAACGGAATGTTTGCGACAAAATGGCTGAAGCAGCTAGCAAGGACAAGAATGCAGGAACAAGTCCCATTGCAGCTAATTCAAACCACTGAAGTCCGTCCAGGAAATCCTTGTTTGTTCCCTTGGCACTTATCCCGGAAGAAAGGAGAGTGGCCTTTACCAGGCTGATTTTGGCGATGATTGCCAAGGTGACTAAGGACATCGTTTCGGCTATGTTAGCGGTTTTACTACGGAATGGGTCCTTGATTATGTGGTGGATGGCCATGAAGTCGCATGCGCTAGCTATGAAGAAAAGTCGGATCATAGCGTTAGGGATGAACGAGTGAAATGTAAGAAGGATGAGCCGTCGACCAATCATAACGCTCTCCCAGTAAGGATCGCGAAATGGCTCCTGTAGGACCTTCATTACTTCAGCGCTATTGTCTTCGCTACCATTTTCTTCATTTCTTCCCTTGAAAAAGCGCTTGAAAAGCCAATAGATTAGAAATGGCAAAGGAATAGCACACGCTGCGAGAAATTCACCTGAAGAAATGGAAGAACTGTGCAGCTTTAAAGAACCGCAGTACAGGACTGCGATAAAGGGTACCACAAACACGATTATGTACGCGAGAACGATGTATTGCCACGGCTGCCAACAGATCGTGGTACCATCAATGAACAGTCGATTCTCATCCCCAGTACTCACACAGTGCATCAGTGCCAACGAAGTTTCAGCCAGTCTATCGTATCCTAGCAACAATATCTCCAAGAAGACGGCCATATAACTGCTCAACGATGGCTTTCTCAACTTCTTATGGAATTTGCTGATAACCAAGTGGGCGCAGAAAATGAGGGCGAGGTTCGCCATTGTTGCGACAACCACCAAAGAAAGAAGCAGTTCTTTGGTTATTGGGGTTAGTCCCGGAAATGGACAATCGATTCTTAGGTAAGAAGCGCGGACTTGAAAATTGAATGCTGAAATCATAGCAACAACGAGGGGCATTTCTAAAACCAAGTCGTCAAGAGAACTGCCTAGCAGTAAATCGGCGACTTGGTAGTAATAGAACACGATTTTTGTATAACCACTGTCTGGCTCTTTGCCGTTTTCACTGCTCTCTTCGCTTTGTCTTCTCTCCTTCTTTTTCATGAACCATAAAATCTGTTGTGGACTTAGAAGTCGAAGCAAAGGAGGATCAGTTAACAGATATAGCGCCAAGGCAGCCGAGAAGAGAAATATCGCTATCCAGAAGAGGTAATCTTTACATTCAGCTGTTTTTCTGCACTCAGAATTAAATAGTGATTCAGTGTAACCAGGCGCGCACTGGCCACACAGAAAACCACTCCTGTTTCCGTGGCAACTGTTGTACACTAACGATTGCGGGCTCGGTGAGCGGCAATAACCCTTGGGGCAGGGAACAAAGTTGAGTACTTGTGCATCGTTTTCCGACACATTGTATCCCCAGAAGTTTTCTACTGCCGCGATGCTTGATTCGTTTCCTATGCATGTAGCTCCCAAGGGACATGGATGACATTGGAATGAATCATCTACAGCAAGACCTTTTGAAAAGCCAGTTTGTAGGCTGTAATATCCGGGAGAGCAAAGCTTACAGGAAAACGAAAGGACCGTCACGTTTTCTATGCACAAGCGTTGTCTTTTTTCGGTGTATAAAAAACGTGTTGCATTTGCAAGGGACATCTGACTTCCTTCGCAGCGAATGCTAGTTTCGCGGTCGATATCAACGTATCCTCCGTTGTAAACTACCAACACAGAAAACGAACGCCTTGTAGAGGTGCTCGAAAACATAGACGAGTTCCGAAACTTGATGGGTCCTCCGCTTTCAGAATAAAAGAAGGCAGCATTTTTGAATTTCCTGCCAGAGATAGTTGCATGGTACCTGCTACTAACAAAAGAGCAGTTGACAAATTCTACTTGACCAGTTCCATAGGCGGAATAAACTTGACCTGTGTTCATTGCTGCCAAATTGTTTTCAAATGAACAATTCCGAAAAGTAGTGTTTCCGTTACTAAGATACACTGCACCCCCATTGAGCCCAGCGTTCTCTTGAAATAACGTATCTTCAACAGTCACGTGAGTGTCGTATCTCCATAAAGGGTGAGTGTTGTTTATGTTTCGTTGGACGCACCCTGTTTTGTAGCGTTTGTCCAGGTTGGAGAGAATCGAGATAGCACCTGTTGCCGTCTCATAAGCAAACTTACTATCACCATAGTTCCACAGCTCTTGGTTAACAGACGTGCAGTGGCGAAAAGTCGACCGGCGTATGGTTACATACTTCTTTCCTTGGAAATAAAGGGCGAAACAGCTGGCAGGACGAGCATCAAAAATCACTTTGTCTATTTTTACTGTGGCTGTCGATGTTTTGGTTATGTTCCCCACTGCGGGCATATAAAATTGCATCGCGTGACCGTTTGACTGGCCGATGAAATTCGTGTTGTTCACTGTGAACGATACAGACCGAGCCTCTCTTACAGTTATAGACACATCGTAGACATTGCCTTTAAAAGTGCAGTTTTCAATTAGGATTTCGACAGGCTTCAAAGGAAGTTGGCTGGGAAACAACCATTCATTGGATGTCTGTAATCCGTGTCTGCAATACGCGATGGTCACGTTCTTGAGCAAAATTTCATATTTTGGGTTGATTATCAACGCTATATTTTGATTATTGTACATAGAAGTGTTGGCTAGCAAGACCTTCCCTCTGTGTTTTTTCAGCGCTTCGATTCTCACGAACACACTTCCATTATAATGACTGTCGGTGAAATTAGACTTCAAAATTGAAACATTTGTCTTAACAGTACCAGTACTTGCTACGAATATACCTCCAGAGACCTTTGAAACACTGTTTTCCCAGTGAAAACGTTTAAATTCCACGAACCCACTTTTCAACATAACACCAACACTGCTGTGTGAACAGGCACAGTTTTTGACGCGAACGTTTGTGAAATGCGCGTACAGAACATAGTTTATCGGTTTAGCTATAAGACTGTGAGTTTTCCCAACCAGAATCGCAGAGCCCTGGGTTTCGGACTCGCATTCAGAAAAATTTACATTGGTGAGTTCAAGCCTTAGCAGATTTCCTTTCACACTGTTGAAAAAAATCGCACCGCCACCAGAATATGCCTTGTTTCGCTCAAAAGTAGTGTTTTTAACAACCAAGGAAGCACTGAGTTTGCATTCAATACTCAAGGCTCCGCCCTTTCCTTTCGTCACAGTTTGTCCGACAAATGAAGAGTTCTCTATAGTCACGTCAGCTTCGCTGGAAGAAATCTTAATGCACCTTAATGCCAAATCATCACTGTTGTTACCGCACAGAAAGTGATGAAATATTGTATCAGTTTTTCTTACTTGGGATATGTACATGCTATCCATATAGTGCCTGGTACTGTTTGTTGTGTTAGATGACCTCAAGTTATTGTTTAATAGTTTTACATGGCTGTATACTTCCTTTGAGTTAGCTGTCGGCAAAACTAGCAGCATGAAACGAGCTTTGTTTTCGACGCTTGTGACGTTGTTTACTGAAAGATCAGCTCGCACGGATGAATTGGGTTTAATGGTGGTTCGTATGGAAATCACAGCTCCAGTTGACTGATTAGATTGAAGGCCATTCTCTTGAAATATGGTGTTGTTCACGCGAAGTGTTAGGAAAAAATTCCCTTTGTTTCTTATCCAGACTTCAATGCATCGTTGGTTGTTTAGAAATAGAGATGGTCCCTGTAAGTGTAAGTGGAGTGTGGGAATATTTTGCGTCAGAACGCTGACGGCTGCTCTTTTCCCGGCGTTCTTGTAAGAGCAGTTTATAAGCTGAACACTGCTACAATCATCAAATAGAAGCGGCGCATGCTCGAATGCAATCCCAGACAAGGTAATTTTCATTCGTACTTTACCTTTATGAAAGCGAAATCCTTTTTCACAATTAACATGCGGGATAGAATCGAGGCGTTCTATGGACATGCTTTTATCAATAGAAATTCCCCAATATTGATCATTCGTCAGTCTACTCTTGCAGTCAAAGGGCTGGTCCTTCGTTCCAGAGCCATTAAGATGAATGCGTCCGTTTTTTTCAACCTGTTGAACAGCTTTTGCTATCGACCGGCATGGTTCACTCTGAGGGCCACAGTTGTCGATATCTTGACCATGAATGGAAACATAAACGTCTGTACGGCTGCCTTCCTCTATACCTTGATTTCATAAATATAAAAGAATTAATATAATTAAGAAATGATTTTACAGGGGCACCCAACGACGATTTCCTCATAAATACACTAGGCTATCCAGAGTACATGTAGATCTCTAGAAGTGCATTCTAAGCGGCGCTATAAAATTGTATCTGTTCGGTCATCGCAAGGCAACTTGAGTCTTTTGGAAATTACAAGGGCTCAGTTGAGTATCTTCTTTCCCCGAAAATTTTAGATACAATCATAGTAACGTATTACGATGGTGAGAATTTCTCTTATTCCTCTCTCCATCACAATTTTGGATCCGAAAATTTTAGGCTGCCTTTTTTTTACGTAAAGTAGCTTAGTCTGGGGAGTTAAATGAAAAACTACACTTCAGAAAATGGTAGGGAATTTATTAGCCAGGGGCACCCAAAGACGGTTTCCTCCTAAATGCATTGAAAACACTTTTTAGGCTATCCAAAGTACTTTTAGATCTTTAGAAATACAATCTTATCGGCACCATAAAATTTATATCTGTTCGGTCATCCTATGGCAACTTGAGTCTTTTGGAAATTACCAGGGTTCAGTATTATTGTCCCGAAAATCTTAGATGCAATTTAAAGTTTTACGAAAGCGAGAATTTTTCTGCTTCCTCTTTCCATCGCATTTTTGAATCCGAAAATTTTAGGTTTCCTTTTTCTGTGAAAAACAGCTTAATCCGAGGGAGTGAAATGCAAAAATCAAACTTCGGAAAAAAATCAAGCTTCGAAAATTGTAGTTGCATGGTAGTTGAATGGAACGGTCATCTAGTAATTCTTAGCCTTCACCAAGGGATTCTGCGCAATTTTTGCTTCCGTGAACAGATATTTTACAGAAAACAGCCGTTAGGTGCTCCTGATTACATAAGCTTCCAAAAATTGTACATCAAGGGAACGGCCATCTAGAAATTTTTAGCTGTCCTCAAGGACCTCAATATTAAGTAATAGACCATTCTAGGCGACATTTGTATCTCCAGACAGATATTTTACAGAAAACCGTCGTTGGATGCCCCTGATTCTAGCAGCTATAAACTCAAGGTATGCTGTTGCGACATAGCCCAGATATACTGTAATGCTTCAAGAGAGAATATAATGAGCTAGATCGTTCTCTCTTGAATGCTTAAATCAGCGCCCGGCACTCTTTTTAAGTTTCTAGCCTGTATACAGACGCTCCCCGCTGAGTTTCTGAATCGAGGGTGTGTACTTCATGTAAAAAATCGTATATTGTCCCGGACCACACCCATGTACGACATCCATGTTGTGAACACTACCGAATGACACCACAATCGAAAATTACATAAGTGTATGTAGCTGTAATTAGTGTAGTAGTTGTAGTAGCTGTAGTAACTGTAGTACCTGTAGTAGCTGTAGAAAGTGTAGTAGCTGTCGTAGCTGTAGTAAGTGTAGTAACTGGAGTACCTGCAGTAGCTGTATGTAGTATAGTTAGTGCAGTAAGTGTAGTAGCTGTCGTAGCTGTAGTAAGTGTAGTAACTGGAGTACCTGCAGTAGCTGTATGTAGTTAGTGCAGTAAGTGTAGTAGCTGTAGTAAGTGTAGTGAGTAGTCAATAAGTATAATAGCTGTAGTAACGTAGTAGCTGTAGTAATTGTAGTATCTGTAGCAGCTGTATGTAGTTAGTGTAGTAAGTATAGTAGCTGTAGTAAGTGTAGTGAGTAGTCAATAAGTATAGTAGCTGTAGTAACGTAGTAGCTGTAGTAATTGTAGTATCTGTAGCAGCTGTATGTAGTTAGTGCAGTAAGTGTAGTAGCTGTAGTAAGTGTAGTGAGTAGTCAATAAGTATAGTAGCTGTAGTAACGTAGTAGCTGTAGTAATTGTAGTATCTGTAGCAGCTGTATGTAGTTAGTGTAGTAAGTATAGTAGATGTAGTAAGTGTAGTAGCTGCAGTAGCTGTAGTAGCTGCAGTAGCTGTAGTAAGTGTAATAGCTGTAGTAAGTGTAGTAGCTGTAGTAAGTGTAGTAGCTGTAGTAAGTGTAGTAGCTGTAGTAAGTGTAGTAGCTGTAGTAAGTGTAGTAGCTGTAGTAAGTATAGTAGCTGTAGTAATTGTAGTATCTGTAGCAGCTGTATGTATTTAGTGTAGTAAGTATAGTAGATGTAGTAAGTGTAGTAGCTGCAGTAGCTGTAGTAGCTGCAGTAGCTGTAGTAAGTGTAGTAGCTGTAGTTAGTGTAGTAACTGTAGTATCTAGTAGCTGTAGTAAGCGTAATAGTTGTAGTAAGTGTAGTATCTGTGTAGTAGCGCTGTGGTTAGTAGTTGTAGTATCTGTAGTAGCTGTAGTAAGTGTAGTATCTGTAGCTGTAGTAGCTGCAGTAAGTGTACTGAGTATCTGTAGTAGCTACTACAGATACTACACTTTCTACAGCTACTGCACTTACTACAGCTGATACAGTTATTACAGCTAATACAGTTACTCCAGCTTATACAGTTACTACAGCTACTGCAGTTGCTAGAGTAACTACAGCTACTACGCTTACTACAGCTGCTACATCTACTACACTTACTACAGATACTACACTTACTACAGCTGCCACACCTACTACACTTATTACAGCTACTACAGCTACTACACTTACTACAGCTGCGAAGTGAAATGGAAGTTGTTTTACGATGCGAAAACTATGTTTAAGTCGACGATTTCACAGTGTTTTATGTGGTTTGGCTTACTACAGGTACTACACTTACTACAGCCACCACAGCTACTACACTTACTACAGCTGCGAAGTGAAATAGAAGTTGTTTTACGATACGAAAACTATGTTTAAGTCCACGATTTCACAATGCTTTATCGGCATTGTTGCGTAACATTCAAAATATAAGGATTTGTTTGGGAAAAAAAACCTATCGTTTCTGTAACCTACGAAAATGAAAGGATTTCAATAAAAAACAGCTTACCTTACTTAAAATCTGTTACGTCTCTCCTGTGTGGTCCACGGACCGATTTATGGCCGTTTTATGGGTTTTTATGTAACCGGTCTTCTGCCTATATATGCCGATGCTCGATGCTCGCCGATGTTCATATTTCGAGCTTCGGCTACCTGTGGTGAAATCAATAGCCTGCGAACGGCAGACGTTTCTCCTCGCTCATCACCGCTGAGGGACGTTTCGCGAAACGTCCCTCAGCGGTGATGAGCGAGGAGAAACGTCTGCCGTTCGCAGGCTATGAAATCAACAACGGTTTAAAGCGTCCACTTTAACATAGTTTTCGCGTCGTAAAACAACTTCCATTTCACTTTGCACCACAGCAGATTCAAGAATAACACAAAACAAGAGAGAATGACAGGTAAGATTTCATCTCTTACTTAATTTCCAATTGCAGTTGACAAATAAGAGCGTGGACCAGTCCCTACGGTAAGGCGCTTATTCAAGAGCGGCGCTTAATTTAAAGGGGGAGATGTTAGATAATTTCATAACAACATATGCGCGAGCAATTATTGTTATTTCAAATCATTTAGAGCGGGCTTAAAGGGTGTTCCAAAAGTTCGTTCCGATTGTAAATTGTATTTTGCGCAAAGCATTAAATGCTTCTTTAGGCAAATGTAAACTGATTCAGGTACGAAATTGATCTAAATGACCGTTCAAAGCAATAGTTCAAACTAAACTTTGAAGAAAATGTCATATTTTTTTCATTTTTGCCCCAAATGTGCACTTACGCGAGTTTTTTCCCGCCATATTTTTCTCGCCGATTTTGTAGGTTTTCTATTTTTTTATTTTTGCCGTTTTCTTTTATTTTTTCTACTCTTTCACGAAATGAAGCCTAAACTGTTTGTGCTAGAGCTCAGGCATCTTATTGTTACGGTATTCTGGCCATTCAGTTAAAGAAATGGGTAAATTGTTGAAGAAGTCTGAAGGATGAGTCAACAGGTGGTCAAAAGTAAAGACCTTAGAAGACAATCCAAGGAGTAGATCAGGTAGATGGCCGGATTTTTTTTTACAAACTGCTTGAGAAGTGCTATCGAAAAAAGCTGTAAGTATATGCGTAATAATTCAACAAGACAGAAAGAC